AGGCACTCAGGAAGGGCCACTCTGGAAAGCATTATAGATCTGACTGTTTGCCCACTCTTATCTTGAGGAGAGGAATCTGGGACACCAGGTCACAAGTTGGTCTCTTCCTTTGCCCGCAATCCATTTAACGTGGGAATTCGCATACCCGCCTCGTAAGGCATGGACGACACAAAGAGATGGCTTGCCTGCAAGAGAACCAGCTGGTCTGGAACTGGAGGCACGTTTCATTTCTCTGCCTGGCTGGGGAGGTGGCTGGAGCAGACCAGGAGGTCTCCTCTAATGTTTTAAATGTCATATGATCCCTACTTGCCAACTTGCCAAGATTTGACAAGCTAAATTGGCCCGTGTGGTGTGTTCCCTGTAATGCACAGTGTGGAGTTAGATCTCTCAACAGCATCACAAGGGAAGGTAGACAGCAGCCAAGAGCAGGCGGCCAGCTCCAGTGGATGTGGTTCTGAAGTCTCTCCTCCATTTTCTGAGCTGCTTCCAGTCTCTCCAGGACTTGGATTTCAATAAGGTTCTTCTCTTGGGCCCTAAGTGGTTTGGGAAAGGGACCAGTTTCGTTTGGAATGCCATAGGCCCCTCTGGGGTGCTGCAGTCCTGTACAATGCCAGGTTTCCAGGGAGACAATGATCAGGCCTGGATGGGGGTCTGTTTGGTATTTCTCATGTCGCATGTGCCAGGGGACAAACCCAATAGTGAGCTACATGAACCTAAACCATAAGAGGGTTTCATTCATTCATTCCCTCACTTTTTCAGTCTTAGCTAGCCAGCAACAGTTATTGACCATTATCTGTTGACCTTGCCTCTCTCGCATTACGAGGAGGCAAGTGAGAGAATGGAAAGGAATAATCCTTTTCTAGCATGGTCTGAGATCAGCATGGGAATACCCAGGTCCCCATGATGATCCACTCTAGTGTTAGTCTTTTCACCAGAGGTGTGATTAAGAATTCCTGGGTCCATGTCATCTCCAGGAGCTGGCCCCATCATGGCAAAGTAATTCACCCTTTCCAATCTACTCTTCCCCAGATGAAAGAAAACTGATAAGGCAGCCAGATTAATGACCAGACTGCCAGATAGGAACATGCTGGCTGTCATCATCCCCGGGACAGGGCAGAGGTGGGCTTGACAACCAAAACACTCACTGCCTCTTACTGCCTGTTCTGGGACCACACTACCCCAGGGGGCTCTTTAGCCCATTTCTAAGCTAACAGTCTCTGCACTAGGAGTTATCAACCCACTTTACCAGTGAAAGGTTCCTTCCTTCCTCCACTTCCCTCAACAAATAGCTCTGGAGCACCTGCCAAGTTCCAGGAGCTGAGAACAGAGTGATGAGTGAGATGGAAAAGGACTTGCCCTCATGGTGTTTACATTCTCCCGGGAGGCAGACAAGTAAACTAATCCAGTGGTGTCAGATAAGGACCCCTGCTCTAAAGAAAAGCCGGGTGATAAGAAGGAATCTGCTTGAGGTCAGTGGTCAGGGACGGCTTCTCTCGAGAGGTTGGCATTTAGGAGACTAGATGGCAGGTGCTGGTCCCAACCCAAAGGGGCTGCTCCAAGGACCTTTTTTAAAATCTCAACCCAGCATTATTTTGCCAATTTAGAGAAAAGTCGCACGATTAGAAAAGGAACTTTCATCTGTTCATCATCTAGATCCACCAGTTGTTTACGTGTGTTCTGGGTGCTTGGTTGCCCCCTCTCTCTCTTTCTCCAGCTGTGCACAGTCATGCGTTGCTTAAAGACAGGTGTACATGATGAGAAATGTGTCATCGGGTGATTTGGTGGTCGTGTGAGCATCGCAGAGTGCACCTACACACACCTAGATGGAGTAGCCGATGACACACCTGGGCTGCATGGTACGGCCTATTGCTCAGACCACCTTCATGTCCATCACCGACCAAAACGTCGCTATGTGGTCCGTGACCATATATATGTGTATATATATATATTTCCCCCATATTTTTTCTGAGCTTTTTTTTTTTTTTTTTTCCTTTTTGTCTTTTTTACTGACTGGTAATGGGATCGCAACCC